ATGACAAGAACTGTTGCCACACACAGTATAAGACTGGAGATCCTGTGTGGTATCTCATCAAAGGAACACGTCACGTCAAGAACAAGGTCAGAAAGTTCCTCCCATCGTATGAAGGACCATTCTTTGTCCTGGGACAATTGGATGACCTAGTTTATCGGATCCAGAAGAACCCAAGGTCTAAAGTGAAAGTTGTCCACCATGACCAGCTAAAGCATTATCGCTGCCGCGAGCCACTGGACAATACCTGGGTCCTTGATCAGGCTCATCAGTGGTCCCCTACAGAGGTCCCACCACCAGCTTTAGAAGATGACCCAGCAGACCGTGATCTGGGTCTGCACAGTCTGTTCTCTACTGCAACTGGCAATGGCCCCAGCTCCTCTCAGCCTTCTGTCTCAGTTGCAGCTGATCCCGCTCTGGTTGTGGTTGTCCCATCGTCCCCTTCCCATGTAGACCATGAGAATGGTGGGGGTGTGGTGGGTGAGCCAGACCACCCGGGCCAGCAGTTTCAGCGACCAACTCGTCGGCGCAGAGCTCCAGACCGGTATGGAGTGTGGATCACTTAACTTGGTTTACCTACCATGGACAGTTCCAAGTAGGACTGAAGATTCGGTTCAAGTTTAAATCGTTTCAGCCTCCTATACTGTTAGCTACAATGGTTTAAAAGAGTTATATTTTTTTCATTGTTCCAGTGTTTACATTTAAAAAAAAGTATCTGAAGGACCTACGGGGTTATCTACATGCACTTTGTATTGCATGTATCCATTTGTATTTGTGCCTTCCTAGATGCTAGGATAAGTTGGTTATTCCCGGTCGCCATGTAATAGTTACAATTGTGTAATTTCTTTTCTACTTAACAACACTTGAAATGCTTTATTTTGCACATGTATGTACACCTTACTTGAGCCAACCTCTTTGTCACTGAAGTGCACTCGTTGATACTATACCTCACCTTTTATGCGGTAATGGCTAACACTTTTATCTCCTGTGGGCTCCAAGTGGTAAAGGGGATTGTGTACCAGTTTTATGCATTACAATGCTGGAGTGGAATTATTGTTTAATTGCCATCCAGAGTGGGGGTAGTGTTGCGGGAATTGCTGTCTTGTGTGTGACTGGGTGCAGTAAGGAGTGTATGTAATGTGTGTGTGAGCATGCGCGTGAAGGAAACGCGGGGAGCGAAAGAGGCAAAAGAGAGTGAGAGAGTGTGTCATGGGTAGAGAGGGCGACCGGGAGCAGCGTTCTAACGGGCTACAGGCTATGCAGTGTGTTTCCGAAGTGTGCAGTACTGTTATTAAAGCCTCATCTCTTCAGTACTCTCCGGTGCCTCGGCTGATTTCTGTCTGCCTCACTACTCCACAAAAGTAAAGGGAGTTAACCCCGAAGGAGGACAAACTTCGGCCCTGGAGGAAGCATCTCCCCTCGTGTCTCCCGACCACGGTCAGGGGACTGACGGCGAGGAATGGTTAACATATGTTACACTTACAGTAACTCTTCAGATCTTTTTGTTAGACTTTCTAACAAGATAAAAAACAATTTTTTGTTAAGAAGTATTTTCTACTATCTCTTTATCAAGTATTTATCAAGTATTTATAAAAAAAAATCTTGACAGAAAATTGTTCTTTATGTCATAGAACTAAGTGACTTCAGACCTAACTAATTCAATCCCAGAGTGTATGATGCTGACATCTGGAACAGAGAAGTGATACTTAAGTGATACATAACACTCTGACGAGTTCACCCTGCAACAAATGAGTCAGAACTTAGATGTAGACTGCATGAACATAAATAGCTTAAAAGTGTTTCTTTTTTTCTTAAGAAACAGACTCTGTGCAATTGGCAAACACATAGTGTGAGTGTTTGTTTAGAACTATATAGTAACCAAACTAGAGATGGACCAGTCCGATATTACGTATCGGTATCGGTCCGATACTGACCTAAATTACTGGATCGGATATCGGAGAAAAATAAAAAATGTAATCCGATCCATTAAATATCACGAAAGCACCTCACAAAACTTGCAACACGCCGTAACTCACCTCAGAACGTTAGCACGTCGGAGCAGTATGCATCCCGTGATAGAGCGGCTGTGGCATGCGGGACCTGTCGGTGGTCTGGATAGCATTTGGAGCTTCGCTAGCAACCCGGCATTTCATCTCCGACAAAGTTTTCCCCGAGAGAAGTAAAGCAAGTGTGTAAGTCCATCTCTGAATGTTTGTAAAGCATTCCTGCGTTAAGCTTAACAAGCGACTGCCTCTTGCTCTCCGGCTGCTACTTCAATCATGAAACTGCTTAACGATCAGCTGATCGGCTTTTCTGTCGCGAGTCCGTCTCTCTGGTTTGTTTTTGGCCCACTTTGCACCAGAAAGAGGAAACCAGCGGCTGAACAACAGCAGCACGTTTAAGCTTGATCAGCTGTTGTTACAATTTATTTAATATTACTTTCTACACCAGGATCTTTTTCTATGTAGCTGACGCTGGTAACTGTGCAGGGCGGATCTAGCAAAGTTTAGCCAGGGGGGCCGATAGGGCATGAACAGGGAGAAGGGGGCACAAAGACATACTTTTCTTTCTTATTCTCATTTAAAATGTCGAGCTTTTAATAAATAATTATCCGAATCTTACACCCAAAGTTTTAATTTGATGTAAAATGAATAGAAGTCAATTACTGTATATAGTGACTATTAAGTCTAATATATATACCCTAGTAAGCTATAGTACTTTTTCCTTTGGGAAGGTACCATCTGTGCAGTCTGCAATTTTGTTGAAGAAAGATGTTGAATCTATTTAATATTTCTTGAAAAATAATTGATTTCTGTGCTTTTTTTTCACACTGCATCAAATTAAGGTTGATTACGTTGATTAAGCATCATGAGGTGGAGCGTGAGGGGTGGTTCCCTATTTTTTATTTATTTATTTTTGTTGTTGCTGGGAGTTGGAACCCTATTAGTTAGGTTGCTTAATATTTACGCTAAGTACTCTTTAAAATACCAGAATAGGGAGGATGGTGTAGGTTTAAGTTTATTAGATTGATCAGTATTGCTGAACTATGAAATATTTTTTTTGTATACAGGTATAACAGAATAGCTTTAGTGTAGTTGTTGTTTTAAACTTGAGTATGAACTTATACAAAATGCAGCAAGATATTTAAAAAAAAAACAGTTTTGTTGATTAAAAAACACTATATCGGATTCATATCGGTATCGGCAGATATCCAAATTCATGATATCGGTATCGGTATCGGCAGTGTTGGTCAAGTTACTTGAAAAAAGTAATCAGTAACTAATTACTGATTACTCCCCCCAAAAAGTAATCTCGTTACTTTACTGATTACTTATTTTCAAAAGTAATTAATTACTTAGTTACTTAGTTACTTAGTTACTTTTTAAAAACACGATTTACAACCTGAAGAGGTGATAAAGTGATAGATCTTTCAGCCCAATTCTACTTTTTCTACATAATCCATCATACAAAATGTAATCAAATGGAAAAGTCTCTTTTTTTAACTTGTTTTATCAGTTTTAATCTTTTAACTTTATGCATCAAGCAAAACATTTAATTATATGCAACATTCTCTGACTGGAATAAATTAGTTTAACATTTAAACCTATTTTCTACACATTCCAGCACATAAAATAAAATATTTTTTGTGTTTTCACTCACTCTTTCAAACAGATGCAAGTAAAACACAGCAGAAAATAAATAAAGTCAAAGACTCAGCGGTCCTTTTGCTCTATTTTCACCTGTAAAGCAGGAGCAGGGTAGGCAGAGGGTTACCCTGGTGTAGGTGTGCTGCGGTCAGTTGAAGAATCCGCGCGAGTGTCTCTGTGAGTTTCCCATTACGTCGTAGCTACTCGGTGCTTGTTTGGAAGTTTAGGGGTTTTTTTCGCTGTAAAAAGAAGTTTTCTTCCCACGCACAGCGGACACTAATGTTTTTGTCACTTTTTATGGAATCAAACTCAAAGTAAGGTCAGTACTTCCACGCTTTAAACGCTGCACGCTCATACTCTCTCCCGCACTCAATATATTATCCATTGTTGATCTGCACACAGCTGCTGTCACCAACGTCGCTTACGTCACTGTCATGAGACATTCTCGCAAAAAAAATCACGGTTTTAGTAACGCAGTAACGCAGCGTTCCTACGGGAAAGTAACGGTAATCTAATTACCGATTTTGCAATAGTAATCCCTTACTTTACTCGTTACTTGAAAAAAGTAATCAGATTACAGTAACGCGTTACTGCCCATCTCTGGGTATCGGACATAAAAAAGTGGTATCGTGCCATCTCTAAACCAAAGTAGTTTTTTTTGTTTTCAAATAAAGCCAGATAAATTTCATTCTCTTACTGCAATAATAAGATCTGTAGTTCTTGCTTTGTAAGCACTAAACCTCTGGTTCACTTAGAAATAATGTCAACATCTTTTTCAGTTTTTGCACTCATGCTGTAACTAGTTTTGGTGGCCTGTATGATGATGTCAAACACATTACAAAGCTGGTTCATTTTCACATATTTGACGACTCTCAGTCTCAAAAGTATGCTGCTGATCTTAATTTAATTCAATTCAATTTGCCTCTAGGTGCTTTATATTCTGAGATAAAGACCTCACAATAATACAGTAAATGAACTGGGTCGCCATGTTCCCTGTAAAAAGATTAACAGATATAGGAATAAAATGAGCAATCCACTGCAGATAAAGCTCAGCAGGAAAGCTGGAAAAGTCTGTCGTCAGAGTGTTTCATGTGCTTTGATTAGGCTCCGTTGTGGACATATACACGGACAACTGGAAACCCAACAGCTGATTAGTCCTTTTACAAAGACTGGATTTTAGAAAATAATATATAGATATCAAGTATGTGATAAAACCCATACCTTCACTGTTAAGAAGTTATATTGCAGCATCTTGGACTCAATTGTTTGCGTTTGACTGTTTTAATTTTTGAATGCTCCAAATACCACTATTGGCATTCACACTCCATAGCACTAGGTGGCGATAATGCTACTTGCCAGAAACAAAAGTGCATCCGCTTCTGTTGCTAAAATTATGCTACACATAAAAAAATTTTCAGAGCATGCCAGGTCTTACAAGTTTAACCTTCTTCTGTTACACTGTTTGTCTGTTAAGCTTTAACTGGAAGTTAGCATTAACAGCCATTTAAGAAATCTAACGATAACCTAAGCTAGTTAGCTGTCTACTCGTATAAGTTCTGATAGCAGCTAAGATAACTGAACGGTCATCTAACCGGGCTAATAGCGAGAGTAAACGGTAAGTGGTGTGTTTGTCTCCCATCTGATTTGGGCGTTAAATAGAATTATTTAACGCCCAAATCAGCGCTTTTATCAATGAAAGGAGCCTCGGATACAGAGAAATAGTCTTTATAGCGGTTCGATGTTGTTTCCCATACACAGTGTGGCGTCTATGTCAATACAACGCAACTAAAACTTAACTGAACATTTGTACACTGTCTTTCTTTCGAACCCATTCATAGTCACCTTATTAAAGTTGCTGTAAAGTACAACGTCGTTCTCTTGTAGTCTTTAATGCTACAGTCACTGGTATATGTCGGCATAAAGTCTCTGAAACTAAACAAGTTGGTCCATGGTTGAGACATCCAGCACCTCCTTTTGCATTTATGTGGTATGGTCAGATGAAGTAGTGTTTGTTTGTTCGTTTGTTTGTTTTGTCCATGCTTCTCGTGTCTGTAATTCCGATTACCCAGCTTTGAGTTCAGGGTCTTATTGACTCTTGCATTCTTGCATTCAAGGGGCTTTTTTGAGTGTTAACAGTATTATTTCAAAGTGTACTGTAACCTGAGCTAAATTATCTGTGAAAACGTTTGCGTAAATGTGGACGTGACTATTGTAACGTAATGTAATATACGTGTTTAAACTGCTTCTGTGCATGCAGGTAAAACGCACGAACCATCTCCTGCAGTTTCTCGGTCCGAACTCATTCTCAATGGATGTCAGCATTGCTGTATCACTAATTCGAGGCCAGATGGGGACCGTAGTCGAGCGAGCAGTAAATGGAGCGGTCGAGACTGTGCTGGCCGAGATGCTTAAAGTGGTCGGAGTCAAATTTGAGGAGTTAAAGGCTCAAGTGGTGCAGATGAAGAGGGACATGATGACGCTGCAGAGTGAGAAGGCTCAAAAAGAGAAGGAGAACGATAACATTCGGGCCAAGCTGCGTTACACGGAGCTGAAGCTAAAGTACTACAGGCAAGGAGTGGAGGAGGAGCTGCAGCAGAGAGCCTCTGCTTCTACCCTAGTCTGGATTCAGCCACCAACTCTAACACGAACACAGAGAAGCAGATCTGGCATTTCCCCAACAAAGACCCTGTCATCGTTCTCAGTTCAGGCCAGGACTGCTGAGGGAGCGTTGATGAGGAACAGCAACAGTACGTACCAATGAAATGCTTGAGTCCTGGTTTCTCTTGTGCTGACTGTACTCTTTCTTATGTTTCTAGTCCCAGAATGCACCTCACCAAACAGCATGAACAGGCAAAAAGTCAGAGTGTCCTGCCCTTCAAACGTGGCCCACGCTGACTCATCTGACCTGCTGCTTCCTGCTTCACTCACTTTGAATGTGGCTGGAGAATCTCTGGACAGCAGTACAGGTACACAGTGCGTGCGTACATGTTTTCTCTCTCATCACTGAGAACATCACTAAATCTTTAGATGAACATTACCGTAGTTTTACTATTACTTTATTTTTTATTTATATAGCACTGCATCACAGCAGCAGTTTACTCAAGGCGGGTGTTGCTACTTAGGAGAGTAGCAAGCCCTTAGGCAATGAGCTTAATGTAGGTTGGCATGTTGTGACACAATGTAGCCTTACACCAGTGGTTCTTAACCTTGTTGGGGGTACAGAACCCCACCAGTTTCATATGTGCATTCACTGAACCCCTCTTTAGTGAAAAATAAAATAGGATTTTTTTCAAATTCAAGACATACATATATTTTTTACTGGTGCACAAAATGAGCCTTGCATATCACGGCTGAGGCTCTGCCGAACCCCTGAGACAGACTCACCGAACCCCTAGGGTTCGATCGAACCCAGGTTAAGAACCACTGCCTTACACTGATATGTTAGACTAAGTACATGTTGTTTCTACAGTGTTGTTCTGTCCTAGCTCAGACCCAGTTCAGTGTAAGAAAGTTGAAGAGGTGGATGAGTGTGAATGGGCCATTCTGCACTCTAATACAGAAGGCATGGATAGTGTCATAGCCTCGTCTCCTGCCCCGGCTCCGAATTTAGATGATGGGCAGCAGTCAGGGGATTCCTCTCTGTCTCCAGATGGCGCCACCTATGCAGCTAGCTCCACGCTGCTCTTCTCTGTTCCAGAGGTAACAGCTCATTCAAATCAAGTTTTCCAGATTTGATATATCACAAGGTTTTGTTTTGTTTTTTAATTTACATTTCTTTAAAAAAAAACCCCTGATAAAACGTGTTTTTGGAGTATTAAAGGAAATCCTGGTAGGTAAAAAGGAAACCAGGGATATATTGTCAGGAGTCACTGAAGTAGGGCTGTTCGATATAACGATATATATCGGATGACGATATAGAAACGTCTATCGTTTCATTTTACGCTATCGTTTGTTTTGTGGTGTCGCAAAATAAACTGTTTACAGCAATATTTGTTCATGGTTCTGATGTCACTGTAGTTATTATTAATTTCTTAAAGTTCTCTCTTTCTCTTATATTTAATATAACCACACTACGGACGGACAAGCGCCTGTTTTTATGCGTTGTCGTTAGCAACAACCACAGTAAAACCATCGCATGTCCGCTTGTTTATTTTCCACATAAACCTTTCACAATAAAGCTCAAGATCCTGTTGAGACTTTTCAAAATAAATGGAATCACATGAAAAAGTATGCAGAGTATTTACGGATGAGAAGTAAAAAAGAGCCGCCAGGTGCTAAAAAATAAACCTTAGACTCCAACGTTAGAACAGGCTTCTCCCCGCAGCACGCCGTGTAAGAAATACTCACAAAGGAAACGGCGCCGTTACAACTTCTGTCTAAAAATGCATCGTTAAAACACTCGACTCCAGCTACACGACACCCAGCTGGAAACACTTCACCTGCCCGAGATTCACAGAATTTACAGAAAATGTTAAATTTTTTGTGATTTATATTGTTATCGGGACGATAGATGTTTTATATTGGGATATGAGAGTTTGGTCATATCGCACAGCCCTACACTGAAGCTTGTCAGGAAGCATGGAAGCAGAAAAGTGTAATGGCACAGAGTCAAAACATTTGCCTCAGGGCTCGATCTCATCCTGCTGGCAAGGTTTATATCGTATGAGACAATGCGCTACAGAAATGAATGCATGTGTAAATGACCTGAAATGAATACAGTTCCTAAAACTGTATTTTTACATTCTAACACAGAAATATTTAGAGTTTCTTTTCAGTTCAGTTTTATTAAGCCTTATGTAGGTATTTTAATAAAGTACAGGCTCTTTTATTTTCAATTTCCAAGCTAATGCACTTGTAAATTCCAGTTTGTCTCCTGTTTCAAACTAGGTGAAGCATGAGGCACAGGAAGAAGAGAAGGAGGTGATCTATATAAAAGAGGAGCCAGAGGAAGAGCAAGAGGTGATGGCCACCCTGCTGCTTGACTGCCACGAACAGCAGGGTCATCAGCCAGAGTCAGAGGTGAGGTTACAGTTGTGGGGCACAATTTTCAAGAACATAAGTTACATTTGTGTTCACTGTAACTTTTATTTAATCTAAGAGCTGTAGGGCACTCGGGGAGTACATGTCCCATCGTGGTCAAGTCTCTATTTGTTTTAAAGGTTTAACAAGTGGTTCTTCCTTTTCTCCATCTACTGTCAAAGACCAAAGAGAATATATTGATAAACAGCTGCTAATCTCAAAGTGACAGCCACTTTATTCAACCTTAAAGATGTTCTAACTTTAAATATTTATTTTTAGCTAGGATGTCCTTATCTAAAGAGCTTGCATGAAGCAGAGACAAAGACAGAATGCATGGGACATTTTCTTGGGGGCAAGATCATCTCCCCCTCCCTTTTTTTTTTTTTTCTCCTCCATAAGTTGCATCCTGGACGATGAGCATTTGGATGTCAGTCTTTGCACCATTGTAGTTTAATCCCAGCCGTTATCTGACACCACGCTGTGAAGAAGTCTTCTATAAGCTGGATTGTCTGAGCGCTCCAGGTCTTTTAAAGGATTCTTAGTAAACGCTCGTTCACAGCTTTGCTGGAATTCATGACGTTGAAAGATGGTCAAACAAAAAAGATAAGGAAACGTCAAAGGACCAAACATTGAGCGAGTGCACTGACATTTATATGAAGTGGTGTTAAAAACTGTTTGCCCCCTTCCTGACTCTACATGTTTCATCTCAAAAGCCACACATCATGCCGAGATCTAAGAAACACCTGAGAAACAAAGTCACTGACATCTGAAAAGGTTACAAATGCATTGTTGAACCACACTGGGAGCCATTAAACACAAATGTGGTGAAGCTTCCCAGGAGTGCGGCCGGCCTACCAAACATTAACGAACCGCAGGCTTTACGTGTCTCAGTTAAGGTCAGAGTTCATGATTCAACAATAAGGAGTCTGGGCAAAAATGGCCTACATGGGAGAGTTGAAGGAAAAAGCCTCTGCTACACACAAAAGCTCATCTCACATTTGTCAGAAAACATCTTGATGATGCCCCGGACTTTTGGGAAAATACTCTGCGGACTGACGAGACAAAAGCTGAACTTTTTGTTCAGTTTGAGTCGCATTACACGTGGCTAGCACAGAAAAGAAACATCACAGCAACCTGTGGTGGTGGTAGTGTGGTGGTCTCTGGCTGTTTTGCTGCCTTAAGAAAAACAAAATAAAGACGTTGGAGGAGCCTGGTCCTGACCTGAATCTGCCTGAGGTGCTGGGATGTGAGGCTGTTCACTCTGCTACGTGACTGAATCACAAACAAGATTCCTCCACAGCGCTGTAAAAAACCTCTTTGCCAGTTATTGCAAATGTTTGATTGCTAAGAGTCGTCCAACTAATTATTATGTTTAGGGGGCAGTAAGTTTTTCACACAGGATCGTGTAGGTTTGGATTTTTCCCCCTTCACTTAGAAACTGCATTTTGTGTTTAGTTCTGATATTTTTGTCTAATATTTACATTTGTTTGATGATCTGAAACATTTTACTGTGACAAACATTCAAAAAAAACTCTTTTTCACACCACTGTACTTCTTTTTGTGTTTCTGACCATTTAAAGCAGTTTACACTACAAAACACTTTGACTCAGGCACGTGCCACTGTTACTTTATGACATATCCACAGCTACGGCCATTTTAGCATTACCAGTTGCACGTGCATGTCATTGGACTGAACAAATGGTTGTAAGCTCAACAACAGACTGAAGGACAGTTTTGGAAAACTCTCGTGGAATCCTGTTATTGCAGACTATCGAATACAATGAATACTTTCATCTCTGTGCTCAGCCTCAACCGTCAGTGACAGAGTGCCCAAGTGCTGCAGGAAGCCAAAGAAATACTACAGCCTTCAGCTCAGCTGGACGAAGCACCCGTGAGTTGATGTGAATAACTGTCGATCATGTCTGTATGCTTCTAGTCTAATTTTACTAGATATGATAAAAAGTTCTGGGACTTGTCCTAAAACCTTTTATCCCTCAGCTGTAAAAGGCTTTCGGGATGGTATCGTCACCCTGCTGGGTTTCCAGGTGATGTTGACACTTGAGTTTTTGGTTGCTATAGCTCGAGAACAAAGTGATGAAGGAGGTTTATCGCTGTGACGTGGCTTAATATAGCCTCACAACTGGAACTTAGAGTGGGCTCTTTCTGTGTGTGCACTCTCAGATTCAGCACCTCAGTCAGCTGCCATCTTGCCACCTGGCGTCCCACCTCGCCAAGCCGTGCGACCCTGGGCTAAAGACCTTAGTCTTTATGAAGAATACAAAATGCGGAGGAGTGAGCTTCGTCGCCGAAACATGACAAAGCGCAGAGAACTGGAGAAATCGTTACCTCAACCGCTGCTGGCAGATCTGGTCAGTCCACCTCAAATTGTTGAGGACAGAAGGTTTCTGCATATTTACGTTAAAAAAGTGCCTCATTTATAAAGGCATCAAGGGAACCTGAAAAATAAAGGTGATTTTGTGTTGAAGGTGCGGGAGCGTCGAGAGAAGACCAGACTGAGGGTAGCCAGGTGGAGGGCAAAACGGAAACTCCAGGCCTGCCTTAACCAGATGCAGGTCGGTGATTCCACCACAGTCTCTGCACTCAGACATTTCTTTTGGAAATGGTCTGTTTCTTTCTCATGAATGAGATCTCCATCTCTCAGGGCTTAAGGTGGAAATTGATTAAAAACATTTGCATGGAGATTTTGGTGGTCAGTGAATAAAAACATTTTTGCAAACTATTTTTGACGTATTTCAGTAATATCAAGAATTTAAAACGTGTATATGACAATCAAAAAGAAATTTCACAATATTTTTCATTTTTACCCAAAGTTACCTTGAATGCTTTGGGAGGCATTTCTCTGGTAGCTGCCAGAGTATTGTTTACCTCAGTGGGTGTGGACTGTTCACAACTATTCAGTGTAGAGCAGAGGTCTCGGACCCCGGTCCTCGAGCTCCGGTGTCGTGCAACTTTCTACACCTGAATACAATTAGCAGGTCATTAGCAAGACTCTATAGAACTTGACTGCACGCTGAGGTGGCAGCTCAGCCATTTGATTCATGTTACAGCAGCTCATGTGTGAATGAACAATAAAAGTGCTTTTAGAAGGACATTTTTCCAAACACTTACTTAAACTTACTTGAGTAGGGTTAGGGGTCGCCACCTCAGCATGCAGCCAAGTGCTATAGAGTCTTGCTAATGACATGCTAATTGTAACAAGGACACATGGAAAAGTTTCAGGACAGCGGCCCTCGAGGACCGGAGTTTGAGACCCTGCCATCAAACATACATTCCTGGCAGGTATTAAATCTCGAGTTGGTCGTGTGACTGTTGTCTGTGTCAGCGACACACCGCTGCGTGATCACTGACAGTGATGAGTGTTAGTGTCTGTGATATCCAGTGTTGCTCAAGTTAGTAAGTAATTAGTTACTAATTACTGATTACTTCTCCAAGAAAGTAATCCCGGTACTTTACTGATTACTTATTTTCAAAAGTAATTAGTTTCATTACTTGCCTTTTATGAATGTGTTACACAACCTGAAGACGTAATAAAGCAACAGACCTTTCAGCCCAATTCTGTTTTTTCTGCATAATCCATCTTTCATCTGTCATACTGGAGCTGCTAACATAAAGTAGTGTAAGTGAGAATGTGAGGGCTGTACCGTGGGAAAACACAACCTGCTTTGGATTCCTGGATTCAAAGGGAGTGTTTTCTGTTTCCATTGCATTGTTTTTCAACGGACAACAAAGATGGCACAGAGACATTCAGCAACACAAACTCAAGTCCATATCTGACGACCTGTCCGTTCATGTTTTGGAGATTATCATCATTTTATCAGTTTGTGGCTGCCTTAACAGGTGTGCCGAGAAAACGTAGCCAGCTGTTTGATTTGATCATCTGTGTGATCTGCATATATTTGTTCTTGATTGTGTCCACACAGTGTCTCTGCCTGCCTCACAGACTCTTGTCTCCACCCGGTTTCCATCACATTATTCTGATACTAAAATCTTTGTCTGCTATAGATATAGATGTAGATGTATACATACATCTCTCTCTACATCATGTATGTATGTGGTTAGAGAGAGATGTATGTGTAGAGATATAGTTTATTTTATTATTTATATGTATATCTATGATATTTTCAGAATTGAATATAGGAGCGTGAGACTAACAGGAGTGGCCTCCACCTCTGCTGTTAACTCCAGTTTCAACGTTTCTCCTCAGTCGAAAGCAAAAGGAGAATCAGGCACTTTGTAATTCACATTAGAAGTTCAGTGGTGCAGCAATTAGCCTCACAGCAAGAAGGTCCTGAGTTCGATTCCACAGTCCAAAGACATGCAGTTAATTGTTATTCTTTGTCCTTCTGTAACTGTAACCCTCAGAGAGCCTCTCAGTCTCGCTGGTTATTGACCTGTAGTTGTAGATCTGTTAGAAACCTTCTTTGGCAAATTGAAATTCACACCCATTCTCTCTGTCTGTTTAAAGTTGAATAATTAAGCTGCTTACCAATCAGCCACGCCTTTGCTGCTTTGTTCCCTGTCAGGCCTTTGGAGACACTCAAGGTCTTTCTCAGACTGGCTTTGCCATCAGCAGTCAGCAGCAGCCCAGATCAGCTTGTGGTAAGTTGTGGCTCAGATGACTTTTCACACATCTTTTCAAACTGCCTGCTGCTCCTCAAAAACACACTTTGGAGCTCAAGTTCCAAACTGTGAATATTTAATGTTCATGTTATATTTTTCCTTTTTATTTTAAATAAATTTGCAGGAATTACAGTAATTATGAGGTATCGTTTATAGACTTGTGAGAATTTTTCTCCATTTTGGAATAAGGCAGTATGACTAAATGGGAACTGTTGAATCTCCAAATACTTTCCAGATGTACTGCACACTGGAGCCTGGATGGTCAACCCTTCCTTTTACTTTGCCAGATGGAAACTGTAAAAGAAGTCATGTTCACAGAGAAAACTTTCTAAGCCAGCCGTATATAAGTCCAGTAAAGCTCACTGTCTGCTCAGTGAGGCTCAGCAGGTGGTGCTACACTTTTCATTTGTCACTTCAACCAGCTGCTCTATGTTGTGTTTCAGCTTCCACCTCCAGCACTCAGCAGAGACAGAGCTCGGCATCGAATAACATCCCACGGATGTCTACATCCACTTCCACCCTGGTTCTGAAAGGCCCCAACATGGCTCCACATGAGCACGCTGTGGCACTTTCCTACCCCCATGGCAACATCTCTCCACAGAGACTCTCTCTGACAGACACTATCTTACAGTGAGCTAACACTGCTCCATTCACAGAACTCAGGTTTATCTTTACTCGACACGTAAGGAAACCAAGGTTTCGGGTCAGCGTTTGCAGCGTTTGCAGCGTTTGCAGCGTTTGCAGCGTTTGCAGCGTTTGCAGCGTTTGCAGCGGCCACTATGGATCATTTTGTCTTAAATGTTGTAATCCGGTACTGTCAGTATCAGAAAGCCCCAAATCCTTAAACTAACATCCATCACACAGTTAAATACACAATAAACATTTGCCATACCCTTCACAAGGACTATTGTTATTTTCATCAAATCTCTATGTTTATATGTACAAACCTTCACTGTATCCTTTAACATATCAATACTGAACGTGCAGCTAGACTGGATCATGCCAACTGATACAAGACTGCCAAATCACAACAGTGTTTATAGTGTAAGGCAAATACTGTAACCTCAACAGTAGGATGATCCCTTTAAGCAAGCACTCTAATAGGAGGAAATGAGGCTCAGGGTGGGCAGCCATCTGCTGCGACCAGTTTGGGAAGAAAAGAGGAAGACGGGACAAAGGACATGCTGTGGAAGAGAGCCAGAGATTAATAAGTAATGATTAAATGCAAAGTGGCGTATCAATGCCAAAAAGTGAGTGAAGAAGAAACATTTAGGCCTATTGCAGCATAACTAAGAGGACTCAGGGTCACCTGATCAACCCAAAATACGTGCTTTATCTAAACTGAAAGTCTGAAGCCTAATCTTAATAGTAGAGAGGGTGTCCATCTCCTGAATCCAAACTGGAAGCTGGTTCCACAGAAGAGGCGCCTGAAAGCTGAAGCCTGATCCCATTCTTCTTTTAAACATCCTATTTAGGACAGAGGACAATAACCTTGTTTTAACTGAATTTAGAAACAGGAAATTGGAGGTTATCCACGTGTTTAATTACTTTAAGACATTCCTGTAGTTTAACTAATTGTTGTGTGTTATCTGTCTTCATGGACAGATAAAGCTGAGTATCATTTGCATAGTGAAAATATGTCTTCTAATGATACGGCCTAGGTTAAGCATATATAACTTAAACAGAATTGGTCCTTGTACAGAACCCTGTGGAGTCTGTATAGGATTCCCTATTTATATGGACAAACTGGAGTCTGTTAGATATGATTCAAACCACCGCAGCACAGTATTTTAATTCCCAAAGCATGCTCTTATCACTGTAATAATATATCATGGTCAACAGTATTGAAGCTTTAGTTAATGGTAGGACTTCAAAGACATGTAAAGTAATTACAGAAGTAATTACTGTAAGTAATAATGTGTTTGTACTCGGTCTTTGCTGAATGACGTGTGCCTGATAAATGAAGGTATGAAATCCAGACGTGTTATTGACTCACATTTATTTATTCTGGTTAAACAGATTTTGTTTTCCATTTTCATCATCTTAAAATGTTAATATGTTAACTTTCACTGGTTAGTAACATTTGGAAAACATTTATTCAGACACAGAACGAATTAAAAGCAAATGGCCAGCCTTCATTCTTATTCCCGTTGATGTAAATGACTGTTTTAAAAAGTGAGACCAAACATCTACACAACTTCAATATTCAAAAAATGGAGACTTTGATCATTTGGAAAAGCTGTAGAGCTGCAGCATACACACACATAGTTTATCCGTTTAGCCGCTGATAATCTTGTTGGAGATGGCTCCGGGTAGTGTGTAGAAGAGCAGGGCAAGGAACAGCGCTGTGATCAGCAGAATGATGCCGATGATGATGTACTTCTTGTAGCTTCGCCACACCAAGTGAAAGAAACATTTGAAAGGGTTAACGAACCACGAGAAGGAGGTGTCTGGACGACTGCGGGAAAGAGGAGAAAAGCAAATGAAGTGGTTTAGTTCATTACAGATTCTTACAGGCTGAGATGATTACGATGCTTTAGCAACCCTGAATGGGTCACCTGAGAAAGTGTCTAATGTTACGACATTAAAAACGTGATTCCAGAAATCATAACGGCGTCCTGGTGCATCCAGATGATGTGCATTATAAACTGACGGCATTTTCATATTAAATACTAAGGTTAAATGGAACAGCTCAAGTGGGAGAGGGATTTTATTCTGGCACATTAAACCAGTGAATCTCCTGTGTCTGAAAATTAAAGCATATGAGTAATAAGACTAAAACTTTGAATGGAGCAGCTCTCATTTATAGAAACCAAACTGTGAACCCCTGAACACATGACTTCATTTGCAGCTTCTCTCCCACCATAACAGCCTCACAGACATCGTGTCTGCTCCCAGACAATAAAAAAACCAAACAAACCCGAGCAAAAATTACTAAAAAGATAAATGACTCGAGCATCAAAAAGTATAGAATAGAAAAGAATAGAATACATAAGAGAAAGTAATATGATATCCTCAACTGCACCAAAAAGTAAATGAGTAAAATGTGGATCTAGTGTTGTGCAGTCTCTGGTCTGGGAGCGTCTGGCCGTGTGTTATTGTTCTCTTGTAAATGAGATTACACCTGGATTGATCTTTGGGAACAGGCCGTTTATTCTCTCTATATCTATGTGTGCATTGATGCACACATAGATATAGCTCCAGGTTGGGGGGTTGACTCTGTATCCAGTAAGGACCCCCAGGCTACCCAAATATTATTGAAAATGTGTAAATATACCTCAGATTTACAGAAATGTCCCTGTATTCCTTTGACGCATTTTTCGTACATAAATTAGATTGTATTCTGACAGATAAACAGAGCCTTGTGTGGTTATGGTTACTTTGGTTTTGGTAGTGGCTCTGGCTCCTTGCGGGCACGGCCAACAGGATTTTTCTCCGACTCCTCAGCTGTCACAAGATGGAACTCTGCTTCCACTTTCCCCTGGAGGAAGATCGATTGTTTGATGATCTGTATTTGCCTGACTTTATTTTTACATTTGTTTATACACTGCATGTGTGTGTTACTGTGTACTTACGGTCAACTCTCCTGACTTGGTGAAGGGCCACCAGCCTCGTGCTCTCTTCTGCTGAAAGATGGAGATTCTCTCAGTCCCATCTGTCAGCATGTCCGCCTTACACAACTTGGCTGTTTTAGCTCCCCGAGTAAATCCATGGAGGTCTAATTCTAGTGTGCCTGCAGACACACAGTCAGTCAGGTGCACTGCCGTGTTTTATGCAGCCAACACCAGAATCTCTGAATCTCTTTTGTCAAGTTGTTTTTGCCTTCATTCAAGTCATGCACATTTTATCTCCATTATTCATCCTGACTCTCCAGTGCGACTTCTAATACTTTTTGCCATTAAAGATTGTCTTAGAAGGTTTGTCATGTCTTCATGTTTCTTCTGCTTTCAGTGCTTTAAACATTTAGCACCATCTTCAGGTTTTGGGGGTAATTGTTAATAGTTAGCAGGAGTAGTCTTCCTGAATTTCTGCTGTTTCCTGTCCTCCACAGGAATGATTCAAGCATGCTCCTTATACGTTCAAATTGGCAATATGTCCCTGTATTTAATGCCATTATAGCAGCATTTCCCTGAACACAATGCAGTAACACTTTCTATTCTTCAGTGATTGTGAACTAAAGGTGCATCGGGGCACATCACTGTGAAAGAACAGCTCTGCAGCAGAGACATTGAGCTGTTAGCCGTTAAAATGTGTCTGTACTACCTGCCCCGGGAATTCTCGCATGTTATCGCGATAACAGCGTAGCCCCCCCTCAGCCAATGCGGATGCAGCCTCTTACTCCGCTCTGTGGTCAGCAGACTGCAAACGCAATCTCTGAGAGCCCTTTTTGAACATCTGGGGACTATATTGCATCACTGGACTCAACACTGCCCACCTTCACCCAGTATGTGACATGGCCCACCAGAGACAATAAAACATTGGACTTACTGTATGCCAACGCAAAAGAGGCATACAGTTTATCACTTCTGCCACCCCTGGAAAGATCTGATCACAACCTGGTGCACAGGGAGCCACCAGCCACCCGCACAGTGCAGAGATAGTCGGAGGAGAGCGAGGAGGCTCTAGAAGATTGTTTTGAGTCTACTGTGTGGGAGGTGCTTTGTGACGACCACAGGGAGACTCGCAACTTTCAGCCTTTTCGCGGCCTTGAACCTTACTGCAGGCTCTTTCTTGTCTTCTTCTCTCCTATCTGTCCAATAACCAGTCCGTTTAGCATAGTGAAGTCAAACTCTGGACCTTTTTTGTGACGCAACAGTGCTAACCACTGTATCACCTTAGTATTTTATGTTCATCAGTGAAATGTGTGTGTATAATTGCCTCTCCGTGTGAATAGGCACTTATGCATACCCACCTAGAAAGTCGTCAGAGGAGAGTGTCTCAAAGTCCCAGACCTGCAGAATGAGGATAGCAGGAATCTTCTGCTCTGTTTTATCTAGAGAGAAAATACTCTCTCTCTTCCTCACCACCACTACCTGTCAGAGGTAAAGTTGGTAACGATGTGATTCTGTAGCAGCTATTTTATCTACATCAGGCTTGGAGCCGGAGCTCCTAGGACCAAAGATCACACAAATATGAGTACCTTTTCAGCAGGCAGGTAGCTGAAGGGGAACACGAAGCGCCAGTTGAAGTTTCCTTCTCCAGTCAGAGAGTTGTAATGCACATCAGTTTCTTGTCGGTCATCTTCTAAACCTTTCAGCCAGCTACAACGGTAGATTTGGTAAGGTGAGAGATTTTCTAGCAGTGCTTTTTATATAAAGGTTTAGCTAGCTAGTTTAGCTTTTTGGGCTGCAAGGCGCTAACGTGTTGACACCGTGCAGCCCTCACACGATCCACGTTAACTCGCTAACAGAGATATATTCAGTACATTCAATGTGCTGTTCAATAAGGAATCAGCCAAGCTTACACAACAGACAGCAAACGTCACTTTAGTTTTGGAATTATTATTTCCAAAGCTAAAAAAAATATTTATATTGCCAAAAAATACCAGGAACAAATAGATTTTTTTACCCCTTGATGTAAATATCACTGAACTGTTGACCAGTGAGGAAGTGGCTGTCCTCCAAAATGACGTCCTCTGTGTTCCAGATGATAATACGCAGCTCGTATCTGCACAAACACATCTGAGTTTGAATGACCGCATGCCAAAACAACGTTGACAGACATTGTTTTATTACGTTTT